GTCAAGCCCCTCATTCCCCCCTACTGTAATCGTATTTCAAAAATAGTTATTTTTATTTTTGTCTCACAACAAACAATTCAAAATACATATATTTCACATACAGACGCACTTACTGTTAATGCCATTTTCACATTCATCTTCTCCGGTTTCTTCCGTTTCAGTGTCACTTGTTTGGTCTTCTGTTTCATCGTTATTATAATCAACTTCATTGTCATATCTAACACAATAATCTTCTTGAAGTGCAAAATCCAATATTTTTGTTAGAAAAGTGTAGATATCTTTATTTTTATTCAATTCAAAATACACAAATTTGTTTTTTTTAAAAAATTTTTCGACTCTTTTTTTATCAATTTTCTTTTTTTCATTTGTAATTGTTCCAATAAGAATTTTCATGAACTTTGAATTTTCGCTATCTTCTATGTATTCTAAATACCGCCGAACATTTTTGAAACTTTTTTTGTTCGAATAAGAAAATACAAAAAATATAATATGAATTCCTCTAATATTCAATTGTATAGTTCAATAATTTCAATATAAAAACCAACTTAAAATAAAACGATCCTGTATAGTTGTATTGTTCCATACTGGCTGTATTATTACTTGCTGAACGATATCATATATATATACTGAAAACCATTTAATATAAATACAGATGAGGTAATGAAAAACTTGACACTGCTGGGGTAATTGACCTATATATATATAATAGTTGTTTTTTATTAAGTATAAAATTTGTACATTTAAGAAACGTACAAATTTATTGTAAACAACTTTTATTTATTATAACAAAAAACATTAAAGTGTATGTCAAGCTTGTCACTCCTCCAAGTGTATTTAAAATATATAAAAACATAATAACAACTTTATAATCATTTTTTATGCCCAAAGTCTTATTATCAATGGTTTATAACCTAATAAAAGTCTTTTCGTGTATGATTTAAGATATCGATTAAATATAATATAAACATAATTTAAAACACAATTTACTTATTAAAATATTAATAATCAATATATAACTTTTTATATTTTTATTCACAAAATAAACAAACGAAAGTCCCAAAGTTGCACTTTGCATTGTATCCGATCAATGATAAATTGTTTTATCTTAATGTAAATTTTTACATAATCCACTATTTTTTAATAATGATATTAAAATAAATAGTTATTTATAAATAACAAACTGATACTTCAACTATTTTTGTTGTCGTGTAAACTTCATTTAAAGTAAATTTCCCCGTTATTTTTTTGACAACCATCGTCTTTCCAGATTTTAGGTCTCCAACAAAACATGTTTTTATCAATGCTCTTCTCATATTTTGGATTTTCAAGTTTTTATTGTTTCAAATTCATTATTATAAAGAATTAAACAATTGGTTAATAATTTTGTATATTACATTTTTTAATTAGTTTATAAATCAAAACGTATAGATACATTGGTATAATCGATTCAAACAAAATCTCTTTTATTTTAATTGTAAACTTATAATGTTAATAAAAAATAAAATTAATCCAAAAAAATAAAGTGTTTTATGATAAGTATTATTGTAAACTATTTCTAATAAATTAACTATCAATTATTATTAATATAATTGATATATACCAACTTAAGTTAATTCAAAACAAATCAAATCACATTTTTATTAAAAAATAACAATTAAATTAATAATTTTGATTTGAAACAACAACATTAATTCATAAAACTACATTATTATTGTGTATATTTTAACTATTTAATTACTTCAATTAACCATAAAAACAGCACAATAATATCAACAAGTTATTTTTTGAATTATTGACCACTTCATGTACGTTGTTCCAGTTTTTTCTTATTTAATTCATCCAGAATAATTTTCAATTTGTTTACGGCGTCTGTCATTGAGCATCGTTCGTTTTGTTTTCCAACACGAATTGATTACGTCTTCAAACAACATATGTGCTTTTGAAAATGGTGGCCTTTCACCTCTTGCTGCTTTTTCTGCTATATTCCACACATATCTACATTCAACAAACGCAGTGCACCACCCAACAACTTCATACAACATGATACCAAATGAATACGTATCTGATTCAAATGAATATTTACCCGATACGAGAACTTCGGGAGGCATATAGATCTATTTATAAATAAAATATTTGTTTAAGCATTATCATAATATAATTTCATGTGTATAAAATAATGACATGTTATGTAATCGAAAAGACAATGAAAACATACGGGTGTTCTAATTCCTTTAGTGAATGTGTTGTTTTGGATCAGGCTATTCACATTTCTTGAAGACCCAAAATCAGTCAATTTTGCATTGACTTTTTGGTTGTCTTCAAGTGAGACCACAAGCACATTAGCGGGTTTAATATCTCTATGAAAAATGCCATTTAAGTGTAAGTATTCAACACCTTGAGCCGCATCTACCATCAGCTTTGTTTTTATTACTGTTGTATAGATATTAACGGGGTGCTTTTCTTTTAAGTCCTGAATACTTCCATATTTCGCAAGTTCAGTGACCAAGCACAAATGGTCTGGTAAAAAGCAAGCACTATAGAAGTGAACTATAAAGTCGCACCTAAACTTATCTAACATGGAAACTTCTCTTTCAAATTCTTCTGTGGTTCCTTCTTCTCTCACGTCTTTAAGTCGTTTTATTGCGACTATTTGATCGTGAAATCGTCCTCTGAAAACAACTCCAAAAGACCCTTCGCCAATCACTTTATCTTCATGTAAAGAGTCTTTGTCGAGCTTGGTGGATAACACTGTTTCTGCGTATATTATCAATTCATTGATTTTTTCAATTCCAGTCTTTAAAGTACACCCAACAAGCCCAATTTTATCTTCAATTTTAAGCGAACAAAGTGGCGTAAATGATAAATGGAAAGTACACGCTTCATTAGTACGCAGTACAACTACTTTTGGTTCAAATTGGAGAGTGTATATCTCTTCACGACTTAATGTAACAAACTGAATTTTTTGGGTCAGATTTCCTCTGTTACCAACTATTATTTCTAAGACTGTTGGAGAATCTACTGGTATTTGTTTAGCATCTTTACTGAAATTCAATTCACCGGGACTAAGTAGTAAACTTTCGTCATTTTGCACCTGGAAGAATTTCGTCGTATTTATTGAAGTCTTCAATTGGACAATGTTCAAAGTTTTAAACCGTTTTTGGTGCTCTTTCAATTTCATAACAAACAAAGACACAATTGCAACTATTGTGAAAATTAAAGAAAGTACCATAACTCCAATAATCACGATAATTAGTATAAACCACCACACCACATGCTTTTCACAATTTGTTTTGTCGGATGATGGAGAATACCAAAATTGGCATTTGGTACAATACGAAGATGTTATCTCAACACAAAAGTTGATATTTTTACGATCAACACATAAACCTCCTTCGACAATTTTGTTGTTGCCACATTGAAAACAGTTTGTATAAGAATTGCACAATGAACAGCTCGCGGAACATTTGGTACATTTTTTGTTTTCTAAGTAATATCCATCTTCACAAGAAACACACCCCAAATTCGTCTGAGAACTTCGGCAATTGGTGAGTGTACTTAACTCCACACAATTCTCGTTTTCTGCTATATAAAACCCCGACACACATGTTATGCATCGACTCTCCGAAAGACACTGACCACATGGTGAAAGACACCTTTTGCAACTACTCTCTGAAACAAAGTACTCTGAATTGCATTTGGTGCAACCCCCATATTTGTTAAATTCAAGGCAAATTCCTTCTAAATCAAATACTGTTTCACATTCGTTGTTCACTCTAATCGTCCCATTTATACACTCTGTGCATATGTCAGAAGAAGATACACATTTTGTACATTTTGTATTACATTTGGTGCAATTGCCATTGTCAAGATAAAAGTCATCATCACATACCAAACACCCTATTGGTGTGTATTGTGTACATTCTAAATTTGAAGGGTTCATAGTACATTTGTTATCATCCAAATAAAAAGAATTATTTTCACATTCAACACATTTTCCATCTTTATAAAAGCCACAAGAAGATATTTTTTGAACACATTTTCCATTATCACTGAGTATATAATCGTCTGTACATGTTAAACACTTTTCTTTCGACTCCATTTCTTTACAACGCATATCAACACATAAGGACGAGTTACTATTGTTTTCTAGATAATACCCATTTGAGCACTTTGAACATCTTTTAAAGATGCATTCCTCACAATTTTCAAATTTTGAAGAACACAACTTGCAAGATGTTTGTGTTGAAAAGTACGATGGAAGGCACGATATAATCATTTCAGGAACAACAAGGGAACTGTGTTCGATTTTAGTACAAACGCCATCTATAATAAATGAATGTGTGTCATCACATAAAATACACCCATTTTTATTACACATTTTACAGTTGTTTTCACATGAAATACATTTGTTGTGTTCATAATACCCTCTCTCACAATTAACACAATAATTATTTAAAAACGTTGAACAGTTTATTATCAGCTCACAATCATTTGATTCCGTCAGTCTATAATTATTGTCACAAGTAGTACAACTCACATGTGTGCATTTATTGCAACGATCACCATATTTTTCTTTGCAAAGAAGACAAGTACCATTATTAATATCATTGTATTCATTATCTTCACAAACACTTCTTAATTCAGAGAGCACTGTTAAGTGGTTATTACTATTTATAAAACTGATATATCCTGATGAACACGTTTTATTATAATTTATAAAATTTAACCCGTGTTGTGACATTATCAGTGCATTAGAGTATAACTTATTGTCAATTTGAATACTAACTAATTTTTTATTTGTTTTAAAAAATGATACAACCAATTCGGTTGTGGTACTATATTCAATAGTTAAGATATTATCAATTTTTAAAATGGAAAGTTGTTTGGTATTGTCAAGATCGTCACTCTTGTGTGTGCTTTTATAATTTAAATTGTTGTTACGTGCAATAATATCAACATTTGTATTATTACTTTTTTCATATATTGTTGTTATATTGCAATAGTCGTCATAGTAAATACCATTGACCATTCCTGTTACTTTCTTCACACTTGTATCATTCAGATTATGACTCATTGTAATCCACACTGGATTTTTCACAAAGTTAACATTCAAATTGACCGTCGACTTGTTAATAAAATTGTGTTCTGAAATGACATTAAAAGTAGCTTTTGGGTCTTCACTAAATTCAAAAGGACAATATCTGTGTGTGAATGGGTAGTCATGTGTATTTTCGTCCTCCTCCCCATTTACCCAAACAGTTCCATTCGTGTGGCAATAGACTTCTCCTGTGTCGTTACCCCCTGGACAAAATCTATAGACTCTATCACCATATCCAACTATACTGAAATTTTCATTGTCAAGTACTATATTAATGCCAGTCTCACTCCCAAAGATATCAACACATGTTGTGATCTTATTGAAGGCGCCATACTCGAGATATGTGATTCGATTACTACTCGCGAAGAGAGGGTAATCGGCTATAGTTCGCCCAGGAGCCTCTATGTTACAAGTCTCTGTGATGATAACAGTGTAACACGAGTTATCCCAATCGGCATCTTCATCACTTTGGGATTGACAACGCGTTCGGTTGTAATCCTCGCCTAAACAATATATACGAGCAGTCGGTTCTATTATCAAAGTCTGCGAATTTTCAACTTCACTATCTTCGTCGGCATAGTCTGCGTGAAGACGTTTGTACACAACGAGAATACTGTCATTTTTTATGTGAAGAACTGACGTTCCGTTGAGCCAAATGCAACTGTGAATTGTGACCGAGCATTTTGGCTGTACAACAAATGAAGAGTTTTTTGTGAGCGAAAATAAACATGTAAAGTCGTTGATTTCAGACACTATCAAAGGAGTCTGAACTTCAAAAATCACATATTCATCGAGTTGTACGTCGGAGTCATCCGAAAGTACTATCTGAGCTTTTATAATACATTTTGTGTTGTTTTGTATTGTTATTGTGGAGCCGTCTTTTAAGACAATGAAATGACCACTAAACACTAAAAAGTTGTTTTGTGTTTTTGAATAAAATGACAATTGAGAAGAGTTATGTAAAATTAAATTTTTAGAACAAACTATTTCAGACTTATCATTAATTTTAAGAATCGAAGAATCAAATAACTCGATACCAATTTCTTCAGAAATTGTATCTAATAATTGAGTTGAAGATATGTGCGTGTTTGTTATAACGACTTCTGAATTGTTGTACATGTATAACAAATTTTCAAAGAAAATTTTTGATTTACTTTGTATTTCCAACTTTGAATAATCTGTCATTTCAATTTGGAAATTCATTAGTATTGAATCAGTAGTAGAACCAGTTTTAGATATTTTGAAAGTGGAGTTGTTTTGTAAATTGAAAGAATTTGCTATTATTTTTAAAGTACCTTCTTCCACAAAAAAGTGGAAAAATCATTAATAAAAGCGTTATCAATTTCCAATGTTGGCGAACTTTTAATGACAAAAGAAGAATTTTTCATCATTATCAAAATACCAAATTCAAGAACACTCGAAGATGAAATTGTCACTTTTGAAAATTCATCACATTTGATTTCTTTTGGAAATGTTAAAAGACCTTCTTGGAGTGTTTTTATTTGACATTTTGAGTTGCCAAAAAACGTTATAACATCCAAATCTGAAAAATCAAAATTTTCAATTGTAACTATCATTTGATTTTCATTATCAAAATCAAGTCTTTTCGACTTGACAATTAATTTAGAAGTTCCAGAAATTGTCAAAATTGAGTCGGTGCCAAACAACATATTGTCGAGAGTTATTATATTTCCTTCACCTATAATAAACTCGGAGCTTTTTCCTTCACATTTTAATGTTTGAGTTTTTAGAACAACATTTTGAACGTTCATTTTGGTTTGATTTATAATCATTTCTTGCACAACTAAAATTTTTCCTTGTGGTGAAATTTTGATCTCACCATTCAAAATTATTGACTTTTTTACAGTCACAGATGAACTACTCTCCATTATAAAGTCGGACCACACAATCAAATCTTCATTCACAACCAATTGCAGACTCTTTGGTATTGTTAGAGGATTTGTTACTTCAAATGTATTAGGAATACCAATTTTTGAATTTTGAGCGACTTGTAAAACTCGAAATCGTTCGAAATGATTGAAATTAGTTAAAGTAATTTCGCTGTTTTTGTCGAGTATTAGACATGGGTCGGCACAATTCTGGTTTTCAAAATTAACAAGAAAAAAACAAAATTTGTGGCAATTTAATTGAAAAAAATACCATTATTTTTATGAAAAAAACAATTTTGTTGATAACTGAGCAAATAATCGGGTTATGAAAAACATTGATAAATAAATAAAAGACTTTCTATTTTTTAAAAAATGTGTTGTTTAAAAGCAAACAAAATACAAAATGTTTATTTTTTATTTGTGTTTTATACTTGTTTTCGTTTTTTGGTCACGAGTAAATTGCTTAAAAAACAATATGGGTGCAAACACAAATTATAGTAAACATAATCTATACAAAGTTATTCAAACAAATAATAACAATAATTAATAAAATATAATTAAGATACTATAATTGAAAACAACTATAACTTATTATTTATTTTATTAACAGACACAACAAGTTTTTTACTTGAATATTAAAAATTGAAATAATCTCATTTTCTTTGTTAAATAACAAAACAAGCACTGCCAATATTGATAAGGACATTTATTTGACATGTTAGTTGGCTACTTATATTGACCATGGATAAAAATTCACTGGTAAACAGCAAACTTTTGAATTGCAATTAATTGTAATTATTTTAACATTTTCAAGTTATAAATCTATAAAATTAACCACAATTTAACTATTAAATTATCAAATTAATAATCAGAACACTTAAAACACAAAGTTTTACATTTCTATAACAATCACAGATACATCAAACTGGGTGCTTGATTTGTTTTATATATATACGTAATTCACACTAAAAATTATGTTATTTCAAACACAACAACATCATTAAAAATATATTGAATTTTATAATTTTGTCATTTTTTTATTATTCAAATAACAAATACAATAAAAATATTAAGATAACATCTAATGTAATATATAACTGTTTTATTTTCTTGTGTGACTTATTTAAAACTAAATGCATCACTATATTTTTAAATTATGCAATCCTTTTCACCACAATTTAAAAATTGTGTTGATACTTTTAATTTCACAATTGAACCATATATTATTTTATAAATCCGTTTTTAATGATATGTATCATTATTGTGATAAAAGTGTTTTATACAATTTTTAAAGATTTGACTATCTTACATTATTGCTCATAATTATTGTTTAGTTCACATGTAATGTAATCAACAAAAAATCACTTCCTGTGTCTATAATTTTTATTCAAGTCTACATTAATTCATTTTTTATTATTATTAATTATTTTTTATATATGTTTATAAAAAAAAGATGAAAAAACTTACTAAATCATTCAATCAAAACAATAATAGTAACTCCCCGAAGGGCTGCCTTTTTTGGTTTTAATAATAAAAGTGTGTCAATCGCTGCTCTTGGCGTTTTAATACAGTCACTTTTGTAAATTTAAAAAAGAAAGTGAACGAGAATATAATTTATAAAGCAAAAAATCAAATAATGTTGAAACTATTCTGTCAAATAATGACTTTTTTACCGTTAACTTGTTTTTGACATAACCAAGTCGATCTTACATTTCTTTGTTTTTATTGTACATAATAAAAAGAAAAATAATTAATTTAAAACGTAATTGTCTTTTCTTGGTGTCGTCACACTGACAACATTAACACAACGTTTAAATATGTTTAAATTTGGAAAAATTACAGGTTTTTTGAATTTTTTAATTATGACTTTGAATTTAAGTTATTGTCATTAATCAGTTGATGCTTCTTGCACCGCAGTCATTTTATAAATTGAAATGATATAACTTTGCTTTACATCGAATAAAAAGAAAGAATAAAAACCAACAATTAATTAAATACTCTTAACATTATTTTTCTCGATAAGCAATCAATCAATCTTCTTATGTTATAATTACGAATATTTTTTTCTTCGTTGCATAACTTTTAATTGATTCACGATAATTATAGAAACATATTATAACTCGATTAGAACAATTTAATAATTAAATTGAAATCCCATAATAGATAATTTTTATATTACTTTATTTTATAAGATAAAATGAAGAAAAATTTAATTGAATTCTTCTTATGGTGGGTTTGGTTTAGTCAATTTTCAAAATAATTTAATATTTATAATTTAATTGTATAAAATTTCATATTAAATAATTGTTTAAATACTTGATTAATAAAACAATGAAATAAAATGAATAAATATAATAATGTCTTAAATAAACCAGTAATTTACTAATAAATACTAATAAACAAATTTAAAATAGTGTTAATTAGAATTTAGAATTATTATTGATATTTTATTACTGTTATTTATTAACAATGTTTTTTATTTTTTCTTGTTGAAATCAATCGTTAACCTTAGCAAGTCAACTGAATCAACTTTTTTTGTGGGAAGGTGAAATCTGGATAAGATTTATCTAGATCATAATTTATTTTTAGAACAATTAAAAATAAATTCAAAACACGAAATCGATTAGTTTTTGCGCAAACTACTGGTCTTTACAGACCCATGTTTCCTGTTTTCCATGTGTTCAAAATAGTCAATACTTGCTGTTACGAGACATACACATAAATTTTCATTAGAGCGTTTCGGAATTTATCAATTTTTCATTATTTAAATTGGTTTCTGACACGCCGTTTTTAATTTAAGATCTTTTTAGTTCAAATACAAAAATAAAAAAAGTGACTTATTTTAAGTCAAAAAATCAAGGATATAAATTATCCGGTTTTCACTTCATAAGGTTAATATACAATTAAAAATATTATCATTTTAGTTAATTTGTTAATTAAATTAAATAATGATGTTTTATTTGTTTAATTAATAAAATTGTATTAATAAGTATTATAAATATATTATCGTTAAAAATATAATTTCATAATACTGTACTATAGTTATTTTTAATTTATCTATATTTTAGTAACTGTTGTATAATAAATAAAAATCATTAATCATAATATATAAATACTATAATATTAAACTAGTTTTCATAACATCAAAACTACTTGATTTTACTATTGTTTGTTTGATATAACGATTTAATAAATAAAATGTTATATAAAAACAATTTGGAATAACATTTATTCTGCTCCTTTGTTCTATAATTGTCACTTGCAAAAGCCAAAAAAAGATTTTAATTATCGGTTTAAAAAATGTGTAAAAAATTGCTACAAAAAAATAAAAAAAATTAACACAGAAAAACGGAATTGTGCCGACCCATGGTATTAGACCGCCATTATTTTCAAAAAAATTTTGTTCTAAATTCAGTTCCAATTTTCCATCCAATTCAAATAAAGGGATAGCCGTGAAAATTGTTAAACACGATGGAAGAAGTTTAAAATTTCGACTTATGTATATTTGAGCACAATCTTTTTTCTTCTGTTTGTGTTTTGTCTAACTTTGAGTTTTTTATTATTTTATTTTGTTACTAATAACATTTTTTTTCGCTTTTTAAATAGTTTCAAATGATACGTTTTTTAATGTTTTTATTAAAAAAATAAAAGTTTCTGTAACGGTTTAAAGGTGTTACTAACAAACTCATTAGCTTAAAACCTGTAGAGCAATCAAAACTTGTTGGCAAGCAAAATAATACACCGGTAGTGCTTTGTATAAAAAATAGGAAACAGAGTAACCTAATCATCTAGATTAATAAGTTGATTAACATTTAAAGTAATTGTTGTTTTTGTTTAGTTTGAATTAATGTAATCAAATTTAGGTTTTTAATTTACAACAACTTTCTTTATATTATTGGTAAAAAAAAATATAAATATTTATATTCGATTGCAATTTTTACAATTAGATTCTTTTCAAAAATGTATTTTATTTCAAAGTTATTTGTATTATAACTTTATTTGGTTTGTTTTTATTTAAATTTGCAAAGTACTTTACAACATTTTCAAACCATCTTTTTTGTTGATAAAATGTATATAATTACAGTAGGGAAAATGAACCTTAGCCCGGGAAATGTACTTTAGCCCAAAGAAATTCCTATTTTTTCTTTAAAAACACGGGTTTTTACTAAAAAAAAACAAATATTTCAAAAAATTGACTTTTATATCGGTATAGTTTATTATTTTAATATAACAATAGAAAATAATTAGTTTTTCTTTGGGCTAAGGTTAATTTGCTGGGCGAAGGTTCAATAGCCCAACTGTATTGTTTTTGATTTACAGTAATGAAAATAATGAAATTATATTATTTAATTTAATTGTAATCTTTAACTTAATTATAACTGAGTATCACACTTTGGACCCGTGCTTTTTGATATGAAAATTAGTATTTAAAAATGCTATTAAAACGTAATGTTGTTTTTTACCCGATTCTTTGGCGTTTTTAATACTAATAATCATTAGTAAAAAAATATCAGGCCCGAAGTCTACTGAGTATTTTGTAATTAAAGCTTGGAGTATAAATACATTGTTGTGATAATAATTCAAATAATCACCAAAGATTACAAATAATAAGCTTTATTTACATTAAAAATAACAAAATATTTTTTGTTATTTAAAAGAATATAATTATTAATTGTTATTTTAATACTTAATTTATATACAGTATGACAAGTTTGACTTAAACGACAAGTTTGGGTTAAATGGTAAAAATTATAGTTCAATTATAATATTTTTCGAACTATACCCCGAACTAATTAATTGCTTTTTTATTATCAAGTTTATATAAATAATTGAATAATAAAAAGCAAGTCAAAAACCCAAACACACAACATAAAGAATAAGAAAGCAATTAAAAAAGTAAAGATAATTATAAACTATCACACAATCATGATCACAATCACAAACATTTTAATGTGAACATAAACAATAAAGTTTTATAAGATTTGACGAATAAAGTAACCATAACATTTTTAATTCAATTCAATTACTAATACAGTCTAATTTCCCTAGAGTGTGTAATTATTATTTTTGTTGTTCTAAATTATTTGAGCATTTCTTAAGAACAAACCCAGATAAGATAGACATGCTCTTTAAAAAGTGGGTCCACGTTTCATTTGCCAAAATCAAGCGGAGATTCTAAATCAATCCCACTCTTGGGAGGTTTGTCAGTATTTCCTTTCGTTAAATTCGTTTTTATGGATATTATTATTTAATTAAGTTAAAAGCAGTATTTCCCCGTTGTGATAGGAAATACTGCTAATTTATCGTATTTGCAATAAAAATAAAGTAATACAAACGTTTCTGAATGGGGCGGCACATGTTTTGGCGCGTTTGAACTCAACGAGACAAACACATTGAAATATACAAAACAATACTTAACATGTGTCGTGGTTTTATTTTTCAAGATCAGAGTGTAACATAAAACAATAGAATTAATAATAATTTAAATATTATTTTATTTAACCATTATATTATTTTCTAGTTTAACCCACTGTTTACTATAATAATTGGTTTTTAAACCATTTAGGTGAACCATTTAAGTAAAACTATTCCATTTAAGGCAAACTTGTTTAACTGTATTAATATTTATTAATATAGCATTTATTTAACAATGTAAATAAATTATAATATTAACTTTATATGGTACAGGGGTGTAACTGAACATATAAAAACACAACTGAATCCTAAACACAGTGTTTTTAAAAATGCCAATTGATTGGTTAAATTTTTTTATTGTTCCATGAACAAAAGGGGGTAATTAATAATAAAAATTCAATAAAAATAACAAATGAAATAAAACCAAATTTAACATTAAAATGTTCATTGAATTAATATTGATTGTCTCATTTCACGACGATTACAATTTTTTGATGATTAAATTTAATACATATAAGTCTTTACATATTTCGTTTTTCTTTTCGATTTTTTGTGTTAACAATATTTTATTTACATCATTTGTATCATCAATAATTTTTAAGTCTTCTCGACAAAAAGTTGTACCAAAATCAAGACAGAGTTCTTCTTTACCAATATTTTCGAAGAAAATATTGAAGTTGCCAGTCAAGTATTCATTAACATCAACTTCATGAATTTTACATATTTGAGATGTGAAGTCGGCATTATAAAAAAAGACGCGGCGAATTGTCGCAATCAATTACGTGTATGTTTTTCTTCATGTGAATATACAGTTTTACAGATCGATTTTTGTTTGTTTTACTTTTATTATTTTATTTCAGGGTGCCGATTCAAAATAGATCCAACAATTTTTAATATTTTGGGGGGGTAAAATTGTTGATCATCCATATTTAGATTATTAAAAGCTATTTTTAGTAAATTAAGAATAAGTTTAGTATTCAGTTGTAAATTTATATGTTCAGTTGCCCTCCTGTATAATTATTTTGTTTTTCTTTATAAATGAGTAATTTGATAAATTTAATTTTTAATATAAAATTATAATCATACAAACTAAAATAACATTTCAATTATTTTGACATCCTATTTTTTTTTCTTTTCTCCTCTTTTAGTCTTCTCCTTTTTGTTTATTAAATTTTGCTTTTTATTGTTTTTTAATATTAATGATGATATAGTTTTAAACCCATTTACAACTATTATAGTATCAATATCAACTCCGTAAAGTGGAGTACCATTAAAACATTCTTTTTTTGATAATCGAGCGTTTTCTGGTATTTGAACATTTGTAAGTCGACTACAATTGTCAAAACAACTTTCATCAATTTGTCTCAATCTTTTTGGTAATTTTATTTCTTTCAAATATTGACAATTTTTAAAACTAAATGCTTCTAAAGACTTTAGTCCGTGATGTTGATCATTTTCAAATGTTACTTTACTCAATGAAGTGCAATTTTCAAAACATGATTTTTGAATAACAAGAACACTTGATGGTATTTCAATTTGTTTCAAAAATCCACAGTCTAAAAAACATGATGATAAAAATTTTGAAACATTGTTTCCGATTGTGACATTTTGAATTCCAGCATTTCTAAACAATTCGGGACTCACAACTTCCACATTGTTTGGTATAACAAATTTACTCAAACGTTTGCAATTGAAAAAACACCTTTGCCCAAATGAAGTCACTTTATCACTCAATCGGATTTTGCTTAAACTTGTGCACCATTGAAAACATTCATCTTTAATTTTCACAATTCGATCTGGAAGTTCAATTTCACTGAGAGAGTGACAAGTGGAGAATAAGTTATCTTCAAGTGATGTTAAACAACTTGGAAGATGTATTTTACTCAAAGAAGTGCAAAAAGCAAAACAGTTTTCTCCAATAAAAGTAACACTATCTGGTAATAAAACTTCTTTGAGGTTTTCACAGCTTCGAAATGCATTCATTCCAATCGAAATTGTATTTTCAGAAATTGTCACAGAAGTGAGTGAAGTACATCCATTAAAACAACTTTGACCAACAGACATCACATTTTCGGGTATTTTAATCTCTTTCAGTTTCCAACATTTTTCAAACGTGCTATTTTTCAATTCAGTTATGCCTAAAGGAAGAACTACATTTTCCAATGAGTGGCAACTCCAAAAACATGATAATCCCAACATGAAAACAGAGCTTGGAAGAACAATAGAAATAAGTGAAACACATTTTGCAAAACACCAATCGCCAACAGATTTCAGTGAATCGGGAAATGTTATCGAAGTAAGGTTAGAACAATTATAGAAACAAGCGGTATACATTCGATTGATTTGGTTTGGAACGTTAACACAATTGAGTGACTGGTTGTCTTTGAAACAGTTTTCTCCAAGGGATTTGACAATTTGGGGAATTGAGTTGCCGTACTCAATGACATTTTTCTGTGTAAGGAAAACGTTTTTAAATTCGATTTGTGGGACTTGAGTTTCGTGATACACTTTATAAGGAACGGGATACCAAACAACTACATTGAAAAAATTCTCAGATTTCTTTGGACGAGGAGCACCAAAGTTAAGAAGTGGATTTCCAAAGGTTTCGGCGTACTCAGTCCATAAATGTAAAGTTTCTAAATTGGGAAAGTACTTAAGAGTTAGTTCAGTGAGTGGAATCGGGTTGAAATGAAACTTCGACATATTGTCCTTGAACTTTTTACAAACAAATTCAAGTCTGATAAAGTCCCGGATTTGTGTAAAATATTTTGAAACAATCATCATGTGGAACGCATCAAGTTTTAACATGAAATATCTTAATTAATTATATAATTTGATAAGGGTTTAAATGTTTTTTAAAAAAAAACGATAAAGAATGAAGCTTGACTTTTCGAAATTTTAAAACAACCACAGTTAACCGAAAAAGTGGGATGCTAATCTAAATATTAATTAATTTAATATTATTAATAATAAATAATTAATATAAATTTATTTTGGTTTTTTTATTTTATTAATTTTTTGATTAATAATTTATATTAAAATAAATAGTAATTTTATTATTATTCAATTGAAATTAATCAAATGTTACAAGAATCTTCCTTTTTCGAGCATGCACATATTTCCTTTTACTGTACAGATAAAAAAATAGGGACCAAACTTAATTAAGCTGTTTTATTTTTGGTATAAAGTTTCCTTGTTATAGAAAAATCCCCAAATAATCAGGTTTTTGGATGATATGTTAATTAATTTTAAAAAACATGAATTAAATATTTATAAGCATTGTGTTTTTAAATAAAAACAAAAAATTATAAAATATGTAACTCTTAATTTGTGACTTTGAGCTCATTTGTTAATGCCCAGCCGAGCCAAAGTAATATTTGTTGTTAATATTGATTTATCTTCCGTTGTCTAATACGTTTAATAATCATCAATCATTTACTGAATATCTAATTTTTCAATAATTAATTTATTCCTTATTTTTTATTTTCATGAACCGCATGAGTCACTTATAATACTGAACGAAAAGTGACTCATTTAATCAACCAAACGAATAAAGAAGA